GGTTTTTAAAACTGTCCATCTCCACCAGGCAGAATGACAGCATTTCAAAGGCCATGAATTTTGAAATGCTGGTATTCAGGGCCAGGAATCGCGGGTGGGTAGGGGGGGGTACTTCCTCTTTCTCTCCAGTGTTTGGGAGATGGACAATGTGGAGATGGTTGGGGACAGTGGCGGATGTGGTGGCGTTGCTGCCACATCCTCTGTTTGTGGGGTAGCAGGTGCCACTGTCAATCCAGAGGTGGAGGAAGAGGCAGAGACAGCAGAAGAAGAGGAAGCAGGAGGAGCCCGAGACCTTTCTTGGTTTTTGAGGTGCTTACTCCACTGCAGCTCGTGCTTTGCATGTAGATGCCTGGTCATGCAGGTTGTGCTCAGGTTTAGAACATTTATGCCTTGCTTCAGGCTCTGATTGCACAGCGTGCAAGCCACTCGTGTCTTGTCGTCAACACATTCTCTGTAGAACTGCCATGCCAGGGAACTCCTTGGAGCTGGCTGTGGTGTGCTCGGTCCCTGGGTGCGGTGGGCAGTAGCAGGCGTACTGTCTATGGGATGGCCGCTCCGCTTTTGCACCCTGTTCCCTCTTATGCTGTGCTGGTGCCTCTGTGCGACCACCGCCTCTTCCTCCGAACTGCACACATTACTCGCATGACCTTGATTCCATGTGGGGTCTAGGACCTCATCATCCTCCACATCATCTTCCACCCATTCCTCAACTCTGCCCTCCTTGCCGGTCTGCACACTGCAGAAAGCCACAGCAGGTGGCACCTGTGTTTCGTCATCAGAGACGTGCTGCGGTTGTCCTCGCATGTCCACATCCTGAAACATAAGTGGTTGTGCATTAGTGAGCGCAATCTCTTCCACTTCTGGGGCAGGGCTAGGTGGATGGCCCACGGAAACCCCGCCAGCAGAGTCATCAAAAAGCATTAGAGACGGCTGCATGACTTGTGGCTCAGACTGCTTGGCTGATTTGCAAAGGGGTGACGTGAAAGACAGATGGCCATGGGCTGCAGGTGCCAACTCTGAGCTTTCAGCAGGGGACTGGGTGGGAGACAATGTGAAGGAACTGGAGGCACTGTCAGCCATCCAATCTACTACCGCCTGTACTTGTTCTGGCCTCACCATTCATAGCCTCACCTTCCTCAGGTGCGAGCAGGCTAGAGTTCACTCTCACCACTGGACCACCAGGGACGGCAGCACCCTCAATGGCAGCACGGCACCCCCCCATGGAATCCCGGCTTCCCACCGCCTCCCCAGGCTAAAGGTAAGAAGGGGAGGGGAAGAGGGGGGATACATAGTTTTTCTAGTTTTTTTAAATAAAAAAATAAAAAATAAAAAATTTACAAACACTGTGCTATATAGACTCACACTAAGAGCACTCACACACAGCACACTCATACTAACATCACCCTCAGACACACACAGCACACTCATACTAACATCACCCTCAGACAGAGACAGCATACTCACACAGCACCCTCACACACACACAGCACCCACAGAGCACCTTCACACACACACAGCACCCTCACTCACACAGCACCCTCAGACACATACATCACCTTCAGTCACACAACACACTCAAACACAGCACACACATATGTATAATATTAAAAATAACCCTCAGTAAGTTAAAAAATAAATAAAATTGAAACATAGAATGTGACCGTACATAAGAACACCCTCACACACACACACGCTGCACCCTTCACACATACAAACAGCACACACAACACACTGCGCCCTTCACACATACAATACATCCAAATTTTATATATATATATATATATATATATATATATATATTTTAATTATATTGAAAAAAGATGCACTCTTCGGTCTTTTTTAAAGTACTAACAGTCTTTAATCCATAGAAGGTTTACAGGTTGCTTGATCAACGTTTCGACCCGTTCGGGTCTTCCTCACATATACATACATATACACACACACACACACACATACATATATATATATATATATATATATATATATACACACACACACACACACACAAACACACACACATATACATATATATATTTTATTTTTATATGTATGTGTTTAGACGTATTGTATGTGTGAAGGGCGCAGTGTGTTGTTTGTGCTGTGTGTATGTGTGAAGGGTGCAGCATTCATAATAGTATTATTATTGCCATTTATATAGCGCCAACTAATTCCGTAGCGCTTTACAATATTATATACTATAGCACCACTACACACATTACGCTCCAGATCCCTTACCTTATATACACTCTGAATCATCTATACACACACACTCCTACACACACTCTGGGTCCTTTACACACAAGATCCCCTACACACACACTGCACCACCTACACACACTACATTCCTGACATACAAATTATTGATCCCCTATGCACACACGACATTCCTTGTAAGCAAACACATACTACATTCTCTAAACACACACTCTCTACAACCCCTACACACTACAGCCCATATGCACACACTCACTACATCCCCTACAACCCCTACACACTATGCCCCCTATACACACTCGCTACAGCCCCTAGCCACACATATTACACCACAAACACAAAATAAATTGACCTATTTACACAATATCACACCACAATCAGCTTACTCAACATACACGTAATCCCACAAGCAGGCTCCAAACACATGCACCATACACTTTCCTGGCCCTTTTGTCCTCTGGAATCCATTTATAGAGACACCAGAGAGAAGTTAACTGCAAACACAGCGCAAGCATGTTATTACATTTGCTTGCGCTACGCAGAACAAATACAGGGATTTTTTCTCATGCTAGAACTCTTCAGCAGGGCTCTGCGCACTGAACTAACATGCTCACTGTGAGAGGGGGGTGCTTGTCATTAGTGATGACAAAACACACCCTCTCTGGCCCCGCCTCTTTCTCAAGGGGCCGCTGTGATTGAAAAATGCCCGGGCCTAATTTTTTTGCCAGTCCGTCCCTGCTGGTATGCATGCCTCAAAGACTCTTTCAAGGGCAAATTGCCTCTGCAGAAAATGTGAAGGAGTGGCTTCTCTGGAAACTCAGATAGGAGATCTGGTTAAGCAAATTGCAAGACTAAGGCATATTGACAATCTTTAAAAAAGGTTTACTGCAGTTTGAGCACAGTTTAGTGTGAACACCTAATGTTGTGGGATAAAAAATTGACAGTTTAGGCAGCTTAACTGGGTGATCGATGTGGTTCCCAGGGAGAAGTAAGAGGAAGGTTCTGGCCAGCCATGATTTTGTGCAACCCATCAGTTTATTTGTAAATTCACAGGAGTGCACTTAAAATAAAATCACAATAAAAAAGGGTTTGCAGACTCACTAATATAAACCAATGTTAAAAGAGTAAACAAAGATAATTATTTTCAAGTGAAAGCAATCTATTTTGCCAATAGTTGTCATCCTTTTGAGTGTAAAAAAATAATGTCAATTGTAACCTGTATTTAATTGAAAATGATATTATATAAATTGTCACTCTTATAAAAGTGTCTCCTCTTCTTTATTGGCAGAGCATCCACACAACTTTAGAAGACAAAGGGAAGGAAGAGGCAGTGCATAGAAACCCATATAAAGTGTTATACAGTAAAATAAAGTGAAATTTATTAGTTAAAATATTTGACTTTTTTATAGTTTCAAACAAGTGTATGTAGCACCAAACTGCCTCTTAGCAGTATATCCTGCTCTTCAGTTTACTGGTAGCAGAGACTCAGCTTATGCAGGAGAGAGTCTGCTACTAGTGAACAGAAGAGCAGGATACAGTGTTATGAGGTAATTTGTTCTTTATATAGTCTTTATATATTTTATATTTACATTTTGTTTTTTTAACTTATTAGTTCTGCAGATTGAATATTATCTAGGTTTGCCTGCTTTCCTTAAGATGATGGAAGCATCAGCTCAGGACTTGTTTTGCTGGAGAAAGCCGCTGCTAATAGTTGAAGGACACTACTTCAGTATGGCTACCATCCAGAAACTATGGGAGACCAGGCAGGTAGGAGCAGTGGAGGACCCTATTATTAAAGAACAGACAGGATAACCTGTTGTACTGATCACTTTGCCTTCAACAGTGTGGTTCAATTTGGCAAGTTACTGACAGAGTGGATAAATTCTAGGGTGGGGCTGGAGATGATCCTACTGTTTGGATTAGTATCAATGACAAAGTCAGAGGACGAATTTGTGGTCACATTTCACACAGTTAGCACACTTGTTTGTGCTAACACTGCCCCTGACCCATACAGAAATGTTTTGAGGTACCAGCAAGTTCCCTTGAAGAGCAAATATAAATTTATAAGTTCACTAAAATTTACAATGTAATAACCTACAGCTTTGCCTGAACTAATACTTTGGTCCTTTCTCTTTCTTTGCTCTTCTCTGCACTTTTCTTCCTATCCAAAAGATTTTTATTCCCTCTATCAAACACTATTTTATTTTTTTTGCAGCCTACTTTCCATTTTCTCCCTTTGATGCCACATTCACTTGCGGTCACAGGTTAACTCATCCGAGTATTCACAGCCCATACTCTAATCCCAACACTCTCTGGCACACTTGTTTTAAAGCGGCACTGTCATGCCGAATCTGTTATTTTTTTTAAACCCCCCTCCCACCTCCACTATCTCTAATTGATCCCCTAGTCACTCCCAAATGCCACTAAGCCCCCCACATTACCTATTTTTTTATCTTGGCCCCTCCCCCCAATAATCATATTCCTTGTCCCCAATATCACCCCCCAAAAAAAGTCCAGCCGGAAAACAAATAAATAAAGTAAATTAAATAAATTAAATCCGAACAAATCAAATATGAGAGAGTGATCTGGATATGCTAGCTACCTATCTGCGATACCTAAAGCTACCTAACACGTGTTTCGGCGCTGCTAAAGCGCCTTCATCTGAGGCAAGGCAACCGGACGCAGGCATCCGGTTTTAATTTATAACTGCTCCAAACCAATCTCTGACCAGGGGTGTGGCTTAATTGTTCGCGCCAAAAACGGCGGTCAAGTTGACCACGCCCCCTAAAAAACTACCGTGTTTTCCCGAAAATAAGCCCTACCCCGAAAATAAGCCCTAGCTGGATTATCGGGGTGGGCTGCAATATAAGCCCTACCCCGAAAATAAGACCTAGGCAGGGCCGGCGGCTGCCGGCCCTTTAAATGCCACAGCCGACTGAGCGCTCTATAGAGAGTGCTCAGACGGCTGCCGCACTGCCTCACCTCCCCTTCCCTGTAGCGTGGCCGAGCTCCTCTCCGGTCCGCGACCTGGCCGGACTGACAGGAAGTGCACACTGGGTCAGTCCGGCCGGGTCGCAGACCGGAGAGGAGCTCGGCCACGCTACAGGGAAGAGCAGGTGAGGAGAATATTGGAGGGTGGGGGAGTATTACAGGGAGAGAGGGGGGGGAGTAATACAGGGGGAGGCAGGGAGGGGGGAGAACAGAGGGAGGGGAGAGCACAGGGAGGGGGAGAGTATCACAGGGTGGGAGAACATTACAGGAGGAGGGGGGGAGAGCATTACAGGGAGGGAGGAGAAGAGTTACAGGAGGGAGGGGGGAGAATACTGGAGGGAGGGGAGGGGAGAAGCACACAGGGAGGGGGGGGGAGAGAATACCTGGAGAACATGCCACAGTGGGAGGGGAGGGAGGGGGGGAGAGCACACAGGAGGGAGGGAGGGAGGAGTGTCACAGGAGGGAGGGGGCAGAATATTACAGGAGGGAGGGAGGGGGGGAGAACATTGATGGGAGGGGGGAGAGTAATACAGGAGGGGAGAGTACTACAGGAGGGAGGGGGGGGAGAGCACACAGGGAAGGAGGGGAGGGGAGGGGGGAGAATATTAAAGGGAGGGAGGGGGAGAGTATTACAGGGAGGGAGTGGAGAATATTACAGGGAGGGAGGGGGAGATAATATTACAGGGAGGGAGGGGGGAGATAATATTACAGGGAGGGAGGGGGGAGATAATATTACAGGGAGGGGGGAGATAATATTACAGGGAGGGAGGGAGGGGGGTATTACAGGGAGGGAGGGGAGAATATTACAGGGAGGGGGAGGTGAGGGTCTCTGGGGGGGTTACACAGCGCGGACACCGGCTGACAGACTGGCTCTAAGCCCTACCCTGAAAATAAGCCCTAGTGTGTTTTTTGTGACTAAAATTAATATAAGACCCGGTCTTATTTTCGGAGAAACACGGTAATAGCCCATGATTGGTGGAAAGCTCC